CGAGAATTTCACGGCCTTCATCATAAATGGATGTTGGACTTTGTCGAATGCTTGATATGATCATAAGGTTTTTATTTTTCTTTCTGTTGATGTGTTGGATTACACTTATTGATGTTTGTATGTTGAACCATCCTTGTGCCCCTGGGATGAATCCCACTTGATCGTGGTGTACTAACCCTTTGATATATTATTGGATTCTGTTGGCAAGGATTTTGTTGAAGATTTTTGCATCAGTGTTCATTAGGGAGATTGGCCTGTAATTTTCTTTTTTTGTGCTGTCTTTGTTTGGTTTTGGTATTAGTGTAATATTGGCTTCGTAGAACATATTTGGCAGTATTCTCTGTTTTTCAATTTTTTGAAAGAGTTTGGTTGGATAGGCATTAATTCACTGCTGAACGTTTGGTAGAATTCATTGTGAAGCTGTCTGGGCCAGGGCTTTTGTTTTGGGGAAGTGCTTTGATTACTGTCTCAATTTCGCTGCTTGTAATTGGTCTGTTTAGTTGTTCTATTTCTTCTTTGTCCAGCTTTAGGTGATTATATCATTCTAGGAATTTGTCCATCTCTTCTAGGTTGTTGAATTTGTTTGCATATAGGTGTTCATAGTAATCTCTGATTATTCTTTTGATTTCTACTGAGTCTGATGTGATTTCTCCTTTTTCATTTATAATCCTATTTATATGTGTTTTCTCACGTTTTTTCTTTGTGAGCCTAGCTAGAAGTTTGTCTATTGTTTTTATTTTTTCAAAGAACCAACGTTTGGTTTCATTGATCTTTGGATTGTTTTTTTAATCTCCAATTCATTTATTTATGCTTTGATTTTTATTATTTCCTTTCTTCTACTGGCTTTAGATTTTTTTTTATTGTTCTTTTTCTAGCTCTTTGAGGTGTGAGATTAGGTTGTTTCTTTGAGTTCTTTCTTGTTTGTTGATGTGAGCCTGTATTGCTATATATTTTCCTCTTATTACTGCTTTTGCTGCATCCCATACATTCTAGAAAGTGGTGTCCTCCTTGTTGTTCAGCTCAAAGTATTTTTCAGTTTCTTCTTTGATCCCCTCATTAGTCCAGTGATCTTCCAGTAGTGTGGATTTCAATCTCCATGAAGTGGGAGGGCTCCTTGTTTTCTTTTCATGATTTATTTGTAGCTTGATGCCTTTATGATTGGAAAAGATAGTTGGAATGATTTTGATCTTCACGTATCTGTTGATGTTTGTCTTGTTGGCCCAGTACTATTTAATAAAAAAAAGTGACCCATAATCTTTTGGGTGGGGGGAGAAGGGGAAGGATCAGGGGAGGAGATTGTGATGTCAGCATAGGGAATCATGCCTAATTTAAGGAAGTAAGATATGTGTACAATTAGGAACCAATGAACCTACTTATTTTGACCTTAAAAAAAAAAAACTTGATTTTATATACTACATTCTTTAAAACATGAACAATCTGAGGGTTGAATGATATTTTAAATTATGGATTTAAGAAATTGACTGGAGGGGTCTCTCTCATGGTACAGGGGTTGAAGAGCACTATCAAGCTATTGCCAGCCACTGCAGCATGACTTCGAATCCCTTGCCAGCCAGGGAGCTGGCCCACACGGCGCAGCAGACCTCTCCTGTCTTGCCTGCTGCTCCACTCAGCAGTGTATTTCAGTGCATCTGCCTGTTCTGCTCCCCACACTCTCTGGTGAATTCTCTCACCCCTCTGCACCTCTGGCTTACACCTCAGTTCTTGTATGCATAAAAAAATCTTTTATAAAATTGATACTGAGAAATAAAATATAGGGATAAACTGATACTTCTGGAGGGAGCAGTTAATAATAAAGGAGCTCTTTATAGAATAAAAATTCCATGTTTGCTTTTATAAGTGATCTAGAGAATTCAATTTGGCATGTTTGCAGGTAATAGTGCTATCTAATGCTATCAAAAACAAATTGCAGGGCCTCCTTGGTGGTGCAAGGGGTTAAGACACAACCTGCGAAGCTGTCCGCAGCCTCTGCAGCATGAGTTCAATCCCCTGGCCCACCAGGGACCAACCCACATGGCGCAGCAGATATCTCCTGACTCACCCGCAGCTCCCCTCAGCAGTGTACTTCGGTCATTCTGCCTGTTCTGTTCCCCACTCTGTCTCTGGTGAATCCTCTCACACACACACACACCCGCGCCGCCGCCCCCCCCCCCCCCCGACACCTCTGGCCTGTACCCTGGCACTTGTATGCATAAATAAATAAATCCTTTAAAAAAAAATTGCAGGAAGAGTTCCAAAATTGAGAGTAGACAGAAGTGAGTTTGGGGTGAGACCTAATGTTAGACTCACCCATTCTGTCACTTCCTTCCAAATATACTTCAGCAGCCATTTTTCTTTCTCTTTAGGATGAGATGAGAGATGTTTTTAAACCTTTTTTTCTCACTCTGATTCTCTTTTCCTTTATTCTTTACTTAGTGACATGGAAGCCGTCTATGTAATGTTAAGAACTAAGGAGTGCCTCTCTTTGTCCCAGTAGTCATCAACACAGTGTGTAACCTGATGTTCCCTCCTTTATTGGACTCAAAATATAGTGTGTATATACTGTCAGTTAATACTAAGAAAATAATTGATTGTGTTGGTTCTTTTAAGTTGTGGTAACTAACGACTGTTATAACCCACAGCTTTAAAAAAGTTCTGGACTTGTTAGTAAAAGTGAAAACGAAATGGAAATTCTTTTCTGTATAAACTAATCTAAAATCTCCATACCCCCATGTTTTAACACTGAAGAAACCATACTTGGGGGAACTGCCATGGAAAAGGATTTTAAGAAACCACACTCTTCAAGGACCTATTCAAATCTTAAATCATCATAAGGACTTTATATTGAAGCGAAATTGATCCCATTAATTTCCATATAGCCAATTTCTTAAATTGATTTTCTGTGCATTTAGGACTATAGTCTCTTTCTTTGTATCTCTCACACTGACTTTCTTACACTTGATAGAAGTTCTAGGTAGTCCTTTATCAGAAATTACATGCCTAAAAGAGAGTTTTTTTTTTTTTAATAGGAAAGAAACAATTTCCTGCTGCATAGGCTGAATTTATAAATAATTTTAATAACAATACAGATAAATTCATTTATGGGAGATTAAATTCCATTCAATAAGTAACTTTTGTGCCTTTATGCCGGCTACTGCCTGGTCATTGCAGATGTCATATGAATAGCAAAGCCTAGTGAGTTGATTACAAGTTATATGGGTATATAACAGAGTTCTGGTATGCTGCTTCATAGTTCACGGATTTTATTAGGCATTTGACCTTCCCCTTTATTTTCTAAGGTACATACGTATAAACAATATAGAAATGTAGAGATGTTGATTTTTTTCTTGGCTAATTTTATTAATTTTTCACTGACTGCTGGATCTCTCTTTTTACCTTTCACATACTGGACAGGACAGTACAGAATGAGTTAATAATGCTGATGTTTGAAGGCACACATCTGACTCAAACCTTTGATTGGTTGAAAGGGGTCAGAATACTGTGTAAACACCCAAAAAGGAAATTAGTTCTTGTCAGGGTATAGAAACGTTCATGCTGGTTGTCTGCCTTTCCCATCCTAGCACAAGAATTTGAGATTAGAAGAATGCTGGTTTTTTTTTAATATTACATAGCATTCACTATCATTAAGTGAATTATGGGAAAGAAGAATTTGTTTTCATTTTTGGAAGCCTTCATTACTTTTATAAACTCCTTATATACTTGTTGCTTTGCTGTATTTACCTACCTGGGCCCCTGGTGTCGTCCTTTTTACCTACTAAGGCAATGCTAGATTATATAAGATATGTAGAAGCTAAGCTTTGTAGAAGTTATGTGCTAAATTAAATCATTCATTGTTTACTTTTAGAGATAAATTGTTTGTCTGGAGATTTTGTTGCTTTTGCTTTGTGATTAAAGTGAATACTCCTAGGAAGATAAGGTTATTGGCATTTTTGTCTTAATTAATTAAATTGTTTAAAGTTTTAGAGATTCTAGGGGAGTGTGTGTGTGTTATAAAGTAAAATGTGCTACATTTTCATTGCTTGTAGGGATTAAAAGGAGTATTTGCTGTATGTTATATGGGCATAATTTTTTTATGGGACTATTCTACTTGCATAAAAATCTGTAAAGGTTTCATTGTTTTTGTCCATTTGATATTGTTCCTAATGTAAAATAGGTAAGTTGAGTTTTATTGAGCCCAGTCCTTAAAAGAACTAAAAATATCTGCATTTAGTTATTGCTAGTTATTTTAAACCTAGCAGATAACTATTAAACAATGGGGCTATTTTTATGAAATTGTATGTCACCTTTGATTTACTGCAAAAATGAATTATAAAAGTGCAGCAAACATATATCTTTCAGCTAAATCACATATTTGATATAAAAATTAAAGAATTTTATTAAATTTCTGACTTAGTACTTTAACTACTAATAACTTTTAATCCTGATAAGATAGAGGACAAATATAACCACTTCTGAAATCTAGATGATGCAGATTTCAGTTTGAATTACAGTCCTTTTATCAGCACTGTTTGCTTATTAATAAAATACACTAATCTCAGCTTCATCCTTGGCTGATAATTGAGAAGCAATTAAAAAAGGAGGTCATAAGTATAAAGCATCTTAATAAATGTTTTCTTGGTATTGGTCATTACAAACATACACACACACACACATAATTTGCACATAATTGTAAGAGAGCATTGAGAGTTAATCCTGAACTCTGTTATAAAAATTATAAAAATCTACCCTTAAGGTAGAATGTATCTTATTTTCTTATAAAAGGAGTATCTCAGGAACTGATCCATACCTTGATTTTTCATGATTTCTAATAAAAATTTTAGATAGCATGTCTATTTGAAGAATTATGGTGATTTGCAATCACTGGCAAGTATCTTTGTTAACTGAATGATAGATTTATGAAAGCTATTACTACAAAGTAGAATATCAGAAATGGGCATTTTTGAAAAATTGATACTAATAAGGATTTAAAATTTTTATTTCAGCTAGAACGAGTAAATCTGTCTGCAGCTCAGACACTGAGAGCAGCTTTCATTAAGGTAAAGCACAAATAATTTATTGTGATGATTAATAGGTTTTCTATATATATGGGATAATTGCCAATTTATTTCCTTTTAGTGAAAACTGTTCAACCATCTTGTTCCCGTGTTAATGTTCTCTGTAAAGCTTAAAACACTTCCAGAAAGTGAACTGGAACAGATGCTCTTTATCATCATTTATCTTTTTTGTCACTTCATGCATTTGAAACTGACTTCTTTGGAGTGTTCTCCTTAGCTTTACAGCAGATCTTTGAGTTCTTTTCCTTTTATTTGACTTGATTAAAACTTTTTTTAAGATTATAACTCAAAATGATCTTCTTGTTCTTTAACTATACAACATAAACAATGTTTTTGAATTCCCTTAATGGGAATTAAGGATTCCTGGAAAGTCTATAAGTTAACAAGTCACTCAGAGTTAAGTTTTTACATTGTCTCTAAATGTGAGCTGCTCAGTCAGTAATCATTGGCCACATGTTGCTTTTGAGCACTTTGGCTAGTTGGAATTGAGTTGTGATTCAAATATAAAAGTCACACTAGATTTTGAAGACTTCATACAAGAAAAGAGTGTAAAGTGACTCAGTAAAATAAATGAATTACATGTTGGAATGATGCTATCTTAAGTGCGTTCTTAAAATAATTTCCTGTTTCTTTTTATTATTTTAATGTGGCTATTAGAAAATTTAAAGCTACATAAGCTCTTATTTGTAGCTTGCATTATAATTTTTAATTGCGTATCTACTTTTCTTCCTATAAAACTTTATCCACTTGCCCCTCCCAAGTTTATGTCAGAGTGCCCACAGCTTTAATTTTTATTTACTTTTTTGTGTGTTTGTTTCCATCAATACCTAAGACTACGTAATATTTCAGGTAAAGCATTTTAATGTTAAATCTAGAATACATTTATACTTAAGTTTCATTGGAGTTAAAACTGTGCATCCATCTAGCTTGGTATCTTTTTGTGGCAAAGATTAGTGACACCACTCTTAACGAGCAGCTTAGGTGATGTCTTTAGACATCTTTTATATATTACCACAAGAATTTACATTGTATATGTTGGATTATACCTATTTTGACCTGATAATACTCAAATATGGTGCTTGTATACATATGCATTCTAACCTTATTAAGATGCTTCCTTCATTAGGTTAATGAAGAGAATTAACAAAGCAACACAATCAGGTTTTTTCCTCCCTCCTTTGAGTATCAGTGTGATTTTGGAATGACCTTTTTGATCTTAGGGAGGCATGATGGGGGATTATTTTAAGCATCTTTGTGGCCAAAGAAAAGTGATTAATTGCACTGTAGTATTGATAAGGCGTAAATCAGTTTTTCAGCGCTTTCCTGATACCAAGAACAGAGAGAAGATTCACCTATGTATCCTCATAAAGAATACTCTATCTGAAGTAGCAGATGATATTTGCAATGACATTCATATCAGAAATAAAATATGGTTTCGTGAAGCTTTTTATTGTTAATATCCCTATGTGATCTGATGTTTTAACACTAAAGTACAATAAAAGGAAACTGTGCTTTGAGTATGTGGATATGATAGATCTGACTTGATACATGTGTATTTTCCTATTCAAAGCACTGATAATTAGAGATAGTGAACATTATTTTGGAGGACAGCATATCAGTTTTGCACTGATTTATTCTTAATTATATTCAATTTGTTTAATTTCCAATGAGATTAAAGGAGGGCATGTATTGAAAAATGAGGTTTTTGAGTTTTTTTAAAACTATAACTTTTTTAGAAAAAGATTTGGAAAAACTGAACTGATCATATGCCCATATGTGTGTGTGTTTTCATATTTCTAGTTCTTGGTCCATGAAAACTGTAATATTTATCAGGCTTTAATACCTACTTTTGTTTGGAGAAAAAGAATTAAAATAAATTTTCCCAAAATAAAGTAATACTGTCTTCTTAAGATGTCTGTTCTCCATGATTCCTCTCCCCTTTGGGTGATTCTGATATGTTGGCTGTTGAGAATCACTGATCCACAGGAGGGGATATTACTGCCCTTGGAATAGTTTCTCTCACAGTTTGATTCATCCATAAATTGTGTACTCACAGAGTTCAAGGTTGTATTCTGGGAGAAAATCTGAATGTATAGATAGTTAATCTCTGATTTAAAGATTGATATCCTTAATTTGTCAGCCAGGCATTAGGTAAATTTAAGACTTTTAAAATAAAAAGTAAATAACTGAACCAGGACATCAACCAGAATATACTAAGTACAGAAGGTAATAAATAAGACTGCTGTTCTCAAACCATGTGTTGAGGTATCCTAGCATCCCACAGCAAATTCAGTGTGATGAGCTATTTAATAATTTTGAAGGAACACAGTGATCCTCACTATCTTTTTGACACTTTGTGCTACTTAAGGTAGTTTGCAGTTTCAATATATTGAGCTACATTCCTTTCAATGATGTCATATCTTTGTGAGGTTAGACTTTTGGCCACTCCTGTGATAAAAAGCAAGTACCACACAATAATCAGGAAATGAGGATGGCAGGGTCTAAGGTAATTTGAACATTTGAGATACTGTATAGTGCCCAACAAATACACAGATTTCAGTAAGTAACCATAATTATTTCAGAATGAGGTAAAATAATTTTCTTTCATATTATGTATTTTTTTAAAGCTAACATGTTAGGATATATGTAATTATTGTTTCAATCTAATAATAACAACACTATTAAATATTTCTTTTGGCACCAACTGCATTGTTAACTGAAAAAGTTAATAACCTCTTAAATTTCTAATGCCCCAGCTTTGGCAATTTGGGTCTTCAGACCAACTTGCTCTTGAAAAGTTTGTACTTGAACTTTCAGCATTTAACCTTTATTATAATTTAATCAGAGAAATGTTTTTCGACTGGCATTCTCTGTAAGCACATTGAGGATAGTCTCCTGCCCTCTAGATAATGCATTATATTGGTAAATGTACTGCTGCTTAGGGAAGGAAGATAAATGATGGTTACAGAAGCTTATTATTTAAATAGTGTGGTATTTGTAATTTTGGGCCATTTCACCAAATTAATAATGTTCATAGTATCTTAAACCATCTTTTAAAACCTTTAAAAAGTAACAGCTTTTAAAGGTACCTCCTTTTTTTTAGAAATAGATTTTATCCTAAACATAATCATGGAAGGGAAAGTTGAAACAAGGCATCAAAAAATGGAATTCACTAGGACATACTTTGTTATTAATCATCTATTGAAGTGATTTCCCTAAATAGCATTTGACGGCAGTTAAAATGATCCCAGGATTGAGATAAATGTGTATACTTTCTTTTTCCATATTACTTCACAGCCTTTCAGTTTTTGATACTTGAAGCCGAATGAGAAACAAGGTGTTATAATGGAAAGAGCAAAAGGAGCAGAAGAAAGTGGGATCTGCAGTGATATAATGGGATTGAAGAGGCAGAGATTAAATGTGCTTGACAAATAAGGAAGCAAATAGATTGCCATCTGGTTAAGATCGTAAATTGTGTTTCTATTTACTATTTAATGTCAGGGCAAAAAAGTAAAGACATTATCAGCATAATGATTAAAATTGGCAGACATTCTAAAAGAAATTTAGAGTGTGATTATAAAATTTAAAAAATAATAAAAGGGAACAAAATTATTGCGGAAGTCCAGAATCTGAACATTCACTTGGTAAACTCAGAACTCTTTATGCTCAGTCCTGAAATGGCCAGATAGTTTCAGTGCCAAAGGAAGTGTAAGTAAATAACAGACCAATGTAGACTCACTAGTGAAACAAGGTGATAGAGGATTACTGATGTTCTGAAAGCTAGTAAAGGTAATGTTCTGCCTTCATTGATATTCACGTCATATTTTATGAAATTACTGAAAAAGTAATTGATGGGTTATCAGAATACATATAATCTTTATTTTTATCTTTGCTATTAGTATGACTGCAAGAGAGTATAAAGAACTAGGAAATGTTAAATATTTTATGTTCAAGTGGGACGTGTCGCTTAAAAACTGTAACAAAACATTTGTGAATATCTTCATTACACCTGTTGTACAAAGATTTCTGCCTTTATAAACTGAAGTTCTCAACGGGTTTCAGACAATAAGGTTTTGGCCTCAAAATACTATTTTGTTTCTGTAATTCAAACCTACTTTCTCTTTCTAATAGGCGGAAAAAGAAAATCCAGGACTCACACAAGATATCATTATGAAAATTTTAGAGAAAAAAAGTGTAGAAGTTAATTTCACAGAATCTCTTCTTCGAATGGCAGCTGATGATGTAGAAGGTATCAGAAAGAATTTTCTTTGGTTTTCCTACAGTTGTTGAAAAGCACTTCCTCTCAATCTTTATTATTTGACAAAAGGGCTTTCCTTCTTTCCTCCTCCTGCTGATGTTATTAATTTTGTGATGGTAGTGGATAAAAGTATATATTAAATAGAAAGTAGTTCTTGCTTTGGGTTTTATATTTGTTAGATTTAATATAAATCACTTGAAGTATAGTGTGATGCATGCTTTACTGTTTTCCCCTATTAATATATTTGTAAGTTTTATTTTTACTAAGTGGTAGATCCTGTTGGTTATTTTATGTTAACTATACAAATAGCAGTTTGAAGGAACTAGATTTGTTTCTCACTTTAATGTACTTTTTTTTGGCCTGCGCAGATTTAAGAGGCGAATGCAATAACCATTCTCTTTGTGTCTTATTTTTTTTTTTTAATTATTAGAAATGGATTTACTAGTCCTGTTCCACTAAGTTAGAACAAAGGGTAAAATTTTCCATTATTAAGGGAGAAAAAAAGTGGATTTTTATTTTTAATTGTATTCTTTATTGCAGTAATTTGGGCAATGTTTACAACACTGTATGATTTAGGGGTACAGGATCACATCTCTTCAGATATATGTTACCACACCATAGCCAGCACCAAAGCACCAATAATCCTACGCTAAAGTTTATTGACTCCATCCTACTTTTGCTCCTCATAACCTACCTTCCCCAGTCTGCTGCCTCAATTTTGAAGTCAGATTTCTAGGGTTTCTTTTGCTTTAGTTTTCTTGCTCCTTTGTTTCTTCATGTTCCACATACGATTATAATCACCTGATATTTGTCTTTCTCCTTCTGACTTATTTCAGTTGTGAAAAAGACAAAGATTTATCTTATCCCAGTCTTATCCCAGTTGTGAAAAAGACAAAGATTTCATCCAAAAGTAGATGTTGAGTTCATAACTGATAGTATAGTCCTCATCAAGATTTGAGCACTTGCTGCCTTGCTAGGCTAAGTCTAACTCATGTTTTGGTAGATTTGTAATGTTTCCATGTCTATGAATCTGTTAGTAAACTTACATTGTCTATGCCTCGTGGAATTGAATTTCCCTTCCAAAATTAATGTCTGTGAGCTCAGCCCTTGTGTTGGATTTATGTTGGTACTCCCAGTGAGATTTTAAAAATGTGGTGAAGATTTTTGTAGATTGTTTGGGGTTTTGATATAATGAACCATTGTGTGTTCAATAGAGTTTATTAAAATCCTCTTCCCCATTGGCAGATATATTGCCTTTGTATTTGTGATGAGTGTTATTACTTTAAGGTTTCCTTGTGAAGTATAGCTTCAGAGGCCCGATAAAACTATTTAGGCCTTTTTTTCCATATTTATTTATTTGTTTGTTTGTTTGTTTGTTTATGGGTCACATGGGGATTGCTATTTATCCCATATTGTCTTCATTTTCAGATGCTTTACTTGGAGGTAGTTCTATTACTAAACTAAATTGAAATCTAATGAATTCTGCTTTGCAACATGGTCTTTCTAATTATCTGACCTTTCTGTCTTCATACCTTCACCCCTTTGACCATCATTGGGATTCTTAGATTTGAATTTCGGGGGTGAGGGGAGGGTTGAGTAGCTTTTTATTGTTTTTTTTTTTTTTTTTTTCCCCCATCAGAGTACATGATTGAACGACCAGAGCCAGAATTCCAGGACCTAAATGAAAAGGCACGAGCACTTAAACAGATTCTCAGTAAGATCCCAGATGAGATTAATGACAGAGTGAGGTTTCTGCAGACAATCAAGTAAGCAATTTTTTTTTTCTTTTTGCTTCTCCTTTTGTTAAAAATATTTCTAAGGAACCACTTGTTCTAGATTTTTATTTTGATATTAATACTAAAGTAAATTAATAATTTGAAGTGTTTAAATGCTACATTTTTATTTTTAACTTCTAAGTGGTGGGATTTAGTTTTAGAGTATAATAACATTTTTTATTATATTTAGCAACAGTGAATGAATTGTAAATAAACTGAAATGTAATTTGAACCACATAAATAATGGAAATATGTAAATGACAGATTGAAGTGAATAGAGAAGTTGTATAAATTAGATTGTTGATAACAGGGGAAACCATTATTGTTTTTATTCCAAAAATAACACAAGTCTTTAGGATAGTAATGTACTCTTAGGTGTGGCTAGCATTTTCTGGTTTGGATCAAATTGTGAACTATAAAGCCCCTGCCTTTGGAATGCAGGTTAAAGAAGAATGAGAATAGAACTGAGACTGGAAGGCTGACTGGTGAGCAACAGCAAGTAGGGGCATCCTAGCTATGTCAGTGGTAATAAACCAGGGGCAAGAGGACGGGAGAAAGAGGGAAGAATGCTCGTTTTCTTCAGCCTCAGTTATGGAAAACAAAAGAAAGCTGGGAATAGTTATAATGGCATTACCTTTTTAGTATAACCACAAGTAGAAAATGCTAGAAAGTAAAGATTTAGCACAGGTCTTGTTCTGGGACAGGCTGCTTCATACACCGTGTCTAAATTTAAAGAACCTAAGGAAGCACACTTGAAGTATTAACCTCATCTCTCAGAAATAGCATTCTTGGGCCTCCCCTGGTGGCGCAGGTGGTTGAATGCAGCGCTATGAAGCTGTCCGCAGCCTCTACAGTCCTGGTTTGATCCCAGCCGGCAGGCGAGGGTCCCACATGGAGCGGCAGACCTCTCCTGTCATGCCCGCTGCTCCCTCAGCAGTGTTTTTCATCAGTCTGCCTGTTCTGCTCCTCGCTCTGTCTCTGGTGAATCCTCGCACCCTCCTGCACATCTGGCCTGTACCCCAGTTCTCATATAAATAAATAAATAAATCTTTAAAAAAAAGAAAAAGCATTCTTTGTAATTACCATTGCAATATGTTGTTTTAACTGGTTTTGGCACCTCTTTTGAGTGATATTGAGGGAAGAGTATGTCACATTTTAGACAGTAATGATTCATTATGGGTATGCAAACCAACTATGAAGACTTGACCCTCCTCTTCTTTGACAATAATTGAGGACCAGAAAGTACAATAAAGGCTATTCATTGGTTAGCCAAAATCCATTTCACAGGAATAATCCTTAAGGTAAATATTTTGCCTTTAAAGGAAAACCCAACTTCCTTTAACTATTTTTAATATGTCAGGAAAGAAGTCAACTGTTGTGGATTTTTTTTTTTAAAGATTTATTTATTTATGCATACAAGAACTGGGGTACAGGCCAGAAGTGTGGGGGGTGAGAGGATTCACCAGAGACAGAGCAGAGAACAGAACAGGCAGATCGACTAAAGTACACTGCTGAGGGGAGCAGTGGGTGAGTCAGGAGAGGTCTGCTGCACCGTGTGGGTAGCTCCCTGGCCAGCTGGAAATTGAACTTATGCTGCAGAGGCTGCAGACAGCTTCATAGGTTGCCTCTTAACCCCTTGTGCCTTGTGCCACCAGGGAGGCCCTGGATTTTTTTTTTTTTTTAAAGGAAATGTGTTTGGACATAAAAGGAACTCAGACACATTTATTTCTAAAATCTAGAGCACTTTACATGTATTTACTTATTACAACACCCCAATAATAGATGAGGAAGTGAAGCACAAGAAATTAAGTAACTTTCTCAAGGCCACAGATCTTATATGTTGGTAGAGCTGTGTTTAAACCCAAGCAGTTCGACTCCAGGGATTTCTCTGCTATTTCTCAATTGTGGATTCATAATGTTGGTACTGATAATTGAGGGAGAAAAAGTTTTTTTTACTTTTTGGAAGAAGTGTGATAAAGGACATCTTATATAAAATGCCAGCATAGGTAATGGAATTTGTGAATAGTGTTGTGGAAGCCTCAGTAGAAATGGTAGGCCCAAAACCCTTATCTTGATGCCTTGACACTATTTTACTTCCCTAGGGAGTTCCTGAGGCATCTGTGCTAAACCCATTGTGGCTCTAAAAAGAGAGTTTGAGAACCACGTTATTAACAACTCTATTTTATTTTTTTTAAGATTTATTTTATTTAATTTATTTATACAAGCACTGGGGTATAGTCAGAAGCGCGGGAGGGTGAGAGAATTCACCAGAGCCAGAGCGGGGAGCAGAACAGGCAGAAGGACCGAAGTACACTGCTGAGGGGAGCAGCGGGCGGCAGGAGAGGTCTGCATGCCATGTGGGACCCTCCTCCGGTGGCCGGGGGAGCAGCCGGGGATCGAACCGGCACCGCAGAGGCTGCGGGCAGCTTCGCAACCCAGCGCTCAAACGCTCGCCATGGGGGAGCCCCAACAACTCTATTTTAATCATAAGGAAATTGTGGTCAAAAAGCCTGAGAGTATTGTCCATTATCATTGACAAAGGCTGAATTAGCATCTTGACTCTATGGGGAAATAGTAATATTTCATTGTAGTGTTCTGGGCTGTACTCAGCACAACTGAGTTGAAATTAATGATAATTAAAATTAGTTTCATAATCACTTTAGAAAGGATAATATTCCATGAGAAGTAGATGATGTTATATATTATTTCCTAACCTAAAATTCAACTATGTATGAATTAACATACATAGTTACTATGTTAGCAACTATGTATGAATTACACCACAGTTTTGTGGTGTAATTATTTGTATCACTGATTGATATGTATAGTATATCTACATTCATTAATACATTTTGCTACACTTCTGCTTATCTGTTCACAAGTTGATGGATAAAATTGCAACAAAATAAACTGGTTTATCCTTTTGGCGTATTGAACAGCGACTATTTTTCTTAATATTTTACATTCTCACATTTGTTATCTTATTTTTAGCAATGTTTTCCAATAAGCGTTTATCAAATATATTTACTTTATTTGTGCAGGTACCAAGTACCTGTACATGTTATAGTTTCTATTAGAGTAGAAAAATGATACCTATCAGTTAACTATTCAGGTGGTTTATATATATTAGCAGACCTAGATTTGAGTCTCCATTCCAACATTGAGCTTTTATGGTCTTAGATAATTGCTTATCCTCAGTAATTTTAGTTTCTACCTGTGAAAATGAGGATATCCATAAGAATTGAAAGAAATGTGCTTAAAGTGCTTAGCACTGAACCTAGCATACTCTGAATATATGCTGTAACACTATGAAATAGGACTTTCCCCCTTCTCTATCGAGTTGATTAAGAAAAATGATGCAGCAAACAAATGCTTTAAAGTTATTTTAATTATTGAATGTTTTGTTTGATTACATTTATTGCTTACGCAAATATTATTACTTCAGTGTTTAAGTCTGATACATTCCAATTAATGGATGACCAGTAGAAACTCGTCATCTAGTCTTTACAGTAGAAAGTTACACATTTATTTATTTGTTCTTTGTAATCTTTACTTGCATATTCATAGGTGAAAAATTCACCAAGGTTTGGTTCTAGACCAAATTAAACATTTAGTATAGAAATTGCCTTCCTTTACAGTGTTTGCATAAACATGCTTTACAAATTTGGGTGACGTAATTAGAAATTACTATTTCATGCAATTTTTTGATAGAGTGAATGTTTACATTTCATTTGATAACCGTTATCCTCTCAGTGTTTATATTTTCCCAAATTTGTCCCACCGAATAGCTGCAGAATGCAGAATTCCTTTCTTAGAATATACCCATATTATATATCTTAGCTCAGAATCCGTAACTCCAGATGTATATAATTACATTGTAGTTATTTTACCCTCAAGTTTCCTCTTACCTTATATGCTTAATTGCTCTGAAGAATTTTTTTGTCCTCGTATTTTCTCTTGTAGGAAACAAACCCTCAGGTAATTGCTACCACAATTTAGCTTTCCCTGGTAGCAAATCTTGGTACTATAAATAAAATGCAGTTCTTTGAACAGACAGATGACATAATATTTGACAAAAAGCTGCAGATCGGATTTAGAAAAGACCAAGCCTGGGGATAAATAGATTGGTTTATAGAATTCTTTATTAGGTTCTCATGTCAGTACTGGGTCAAACTTTACCTCTAGGCTTTAGGTTCCCAAAACAGTGGTTCATTAGCAGAATCACTTAGATAGTGTTTGTTTTGTTAAGCCGCCTTTTATTTTATTTATTTATTTAAAGATTTATTTATGCATACAAGAGCTGGGGTACAGGCCAGAGGTGCAGAAGGTGAGAGGATTCACCAGAGACAGAGTGAGGGGCAGAACAGGCAGACTGACTGAAATACACTGCTGAGGGGAGCAGCGGGTGAGCCAGGAGAGGTCTACTGCACCATGTGGGTCACCTTCCTGGCTGGGGATCGAAGTCGTGCTGCAGTAGTTGCGGACAGCTTCATAGTGCTGATGTTCAAACCCTTGCGCCACCATGAAGGCCCTGTTTAGCAGTCTTTTAAAGTATAGGCAAATTCCCAGTAATCACTAGTTGACATGGGGCCCCACACAGCAAACTTTCCCTTTTCTCTTTTGCCGCCCCTATTTGTTTGGTTGTTTTGTTTTGTCTTATGTTCCCCAGGAGGAAGCATCCAGTTTCAGAATTACTCTTTGACCTATGGAACCCAACCAAGACATATTTGGAACAACATATGTTCATCTTGTTGATTACCCCTATACATACATTTATAATCCTTCAGTAGCAGAATATTTAAGTATACCACAAACTATGGTTGTGTGTAAACATCTGTCTGATACCTAATTTGTTCCATTGTGTACTTTTTTAATGGAATTAAATTGTGTATTTGAAAATTTTTTGTATTCAGAGATTTGACATTATTTAGTTGTTGAATTTGAAAATTTTCTCACTTAATAGAATATCCTAAGATACTCATTAAGCAGTAATGCATTCATGCTTATCATAGCAATACAGAAGAATTAAATTTGCTTGAAATCTAAATGAGAGGGACAGTCATATAACTAAAAGTGCTCTTACTAGGGACAAAAAAATGATTGGACAGATTTCATTTCTATATAAAATCCATTGTCCTATTTAAATATCTGTAATGTTTCAGCCTGAAACCGGTGTTTTACATATAGGAAGTAATAAGTATTTGTTGAAATATTTATTAGAATGTCATCACTACTGTAGAATAGGCTAAGATATTTCTTTATACAATATTCTGTATACTTGTAATTCTTAGAATGTCCTCATACTAAGTTAATAGAAATATGAAACACACTACATGTACACAGAAATCTGGACACTTTGCTTCTTGGATTTTGCCTTTAAGAACAAAGCTGAGGGCCTCCCTGGTGGCACAGCGATTGAGCGCTGGGCTGTGAAGCTGCCCGCAGCCTCTACAGCGCTGGTTCGATCCCCAGCCGCCGGCGAGGATCCCACATGGCACGCAGACCTCTTCTGCTGCCCGCTGCTCCCCTCAGCAGTGTACTTCGGTCCTTCTGCCTATTCTGCTCCCTGCTCTGGCTCTGGTGAATTCTCTCACTCTCCCGTGCTTCTGACTATACCCAGTGCTTGTATAAATAAATAAATAAATATTTTAAAAAAAAATAACAAAGCTGAAACATTTTAGATATGAAATAACTAAATTCTGACATTTCTCATTAAAAAGTTAATGAGAAAATGCTTGTGATGGTTTAGATTTATAGGTCTTACTATTTTATATCTTCATTTGCATTGCATTTGTCTGGCAGAAGTTTTTGTAGCAATTTATCATTAAGAGAATGGAAGTGAAAAAGATTGGCCTTACAGAATGTGAAGCTATCTGAGAATGCAGAACTACATTATGATCAGTTTGACAATATAAAAATGCTGTAAAAGTAGAAATTGAAAAGGGCGCATAGGTACAAGACACAGAGTTTAGAAGAAATGGTTCAAGAATAGGAAGAATAGAGCCTCCCTGGTGGCACAGGTGGTTGACCACACCGCTGTGAAGCTGTCCCAAGCCTCTGCAGCATGAGTGCCATCCCAGCTGGCTACGAAGATACCAACATGGTGCAGCAGACCTCTCCTGTCTCGCCTGCTATTCCCTCTTCGCCCTCCTGCGCCTCTGGCCTGTAAACAATCCTTGTATAAATAAGTAAATCTTTTAAAAAAAAAATTGGAAGAATAGTCAATTCAAATGAGAAATATGATCCTTTTGTTCCTAGGAAGAGGAGGAAGATATTGATGATAGCTGAAAAGATTAAGGTGGTGGAATATTTTAATATTCTCTCTTCTACTAATTTAAATAGTGGAAATAATGGCAGCAAAAGTTTGGTAGAGGGCAAACATGTCTTTTTTTTTTTTTTTTTTAAGATTTATTTATTTATTTATACAAGCACTAGGTACAGTCAGAAGCGCGGGAGGGTGAGAGAATTCACCAGAGCCAGAACGGGGAACAGAACAGGCAGAGTGACGAAATACATTGCTGAGGGGAGCAGTGGGCACGGCAAGAGAGGTCTGTCATGCCATGTGGGACCCTCACCGGAGCCCGGGGATCGAACCGCACTGAAGAGGCTGAGGGCAGCTTTGCATCCCAGCGTTCAACCTGTGCGCCACCAGGGGAGGCCCCTGAGATAAAAGAGCTGCATGTGAGGAAGAGATATTTATTTTTTTTAAGATTTATTTATGCATACAAGAACCGGGTGTAGGCCAGAGGTGCGGGTGGCTGGTAAAAGGATTCACTAGAGATAGAGTGGGGAGCAGAACAGGCTGATCTACTGAAATAACACTGCTGAGGGGAACAGCGGGCAACACGGGAGAGGTCTGCTGCACCATGTGGGTTAACTCCTTGGCCAGGGATCAAACTCATGTCATACTGGCTGGTGATAGTGCTGAGACTTTAACCACTGCACCACCAGGGAAGGCCCCAGGAACATCAGAACTATTAGGTATATAACTTAAAGTGTTAAAAAAAAAAATGAGTTGCATGAAATAGAAAAATAGCTACATTAACCTAGAGATTAGAAAAAGTCATAACTGGAAAAGTTGAGAGACAGGGGTATAGTCTTAGAAACTTATTAAGTAATGATGAATAAAAGGTTAACGATTTGGGAAAGTCGATGTTAATCGTTGAAATCTTGGTCAGCAATGCAGAAGTGAAGATCACAGAAAGGTGAAGTCTAAAACATCCACTCAACCAACTGGATAAATGTTTACCTTTGACAAAGTGTTCATATGGTGTTTAACAGTATGATTAGTAATTCTTAAATACATATATATAAGCGCAAAGGTTTTATAGGTGTGACTTTTTAAGAAGATTCTTTTTCCCTTCCTTAACAGGGATATAGCTAGTGCAATAAAAGAACTTCTTGATACAGTGAATAATGTCTTCAAGAAATATCAATACCAGAATCGCAGGGTAAGTTTAGTAGAAGCCTTGCTTATCTGTCATCCTCAATGTTGATTTACATCTAGTTTGATAAAATATTAAGGTTTGATTATTGATACTTATTGAATCATTAGCCTCTGGGTTTTCCTTGAACTTAAATACATTGTTTTAAACACTTAAAAATGCTTGTCTATCCATCCCCTGTTTTCTGTAATCTTATGTCACCTTAGCTTTTGTGTTGTTCTCTTTTCTTATTTATTATTTTTTCTTACTATTTTTATATCTTGTAGGCATTGGAACACCAAAAGAAAGAATTTGTAAAATACTCCAAAAGTTTCAGTGATACTCTGAAAACCTATTTTAAAGATGGCAAGTAAGTGTCATTTCTCATCTGTGATTTTATATGATAGCATAGCTATATAGATTATTTCTTATTACATACCCTTTGCTATAAATACTCAAGCCAGTTGTAACTTAGATAATTAAAAATAGGAAGTGAGAGGTTGGGAAGCCAATTATTCCACTATTGTAGAGCAGAAATTAACTGACTTCTCTGAAAAGGGACAGATGGCAAATGTTTTAAGGTAGGTGGACTTGTCACAGCTACTCACTTCACCTCTACTCTTATACATTAAAAGCAGTGAAGACAAGTGGGAAACAAGGGGGTATGGCTGTATTCTAATAAAATTTATCTGTAGACACAAAATTTGAATTTTACATAATTTTTGCTTGTCACATACCATTCTTTTTGGATTTTTTTTTCTTTTTTTTTTGGTATTTTCACCACCTGAAAATATGAAAGTATTCTTAGCTTACAGACTAACATAAACCTGGTGAGTGAAGTTGGGCTTACTGGTTTACTTCACCAACTACCTGAAGAAGTGGTTCTCAAACTTACATAGTAGAATCACCTGCAGTGCTTGTTTAAGCACATACTGCTTTCCCAGAGTTTCTGGTTCTTTAAGCCAGGAGTAGACCCAAGAATATTCTGTGAAGTTTCCAAGATGATATTGTTGCTGCAGATGTATTGAGAATTGCTATAATAAAGTTAGAGTAGTGGTTCTCAATCCTGTCTGCTTATTAGAAACACTTGCGGTTAGTTTAAAAAAATTCCCAGTGCCTTGCCCCCACCTTCAGAGATTCTCACTTAAGTGTGAGGCCAGGGTGTAGGTGTGTTATAAAGTATTCCAGGTGTTTTTAAAGTGTGCAAAGTTGTTGATCCTTTGTCCAGGAAGGCAGTGGGGGAAGGGCTTTCACAGTATCACTCTTAATTGGGTAGGAATTATATTAAACAGGTAAATCATGCATTAAGATTTACATACAGTTGGTTGTATAATACTCTAGAAAGATGGGAAAATTTGTTTTTTATTATGTACACACGGACTTGAAATGTTTAAGCTGATGTGGAGACCGTATCTCCTGCAGTATCGTACCATACAGGATGTTCATTGTGCTTCAAATAGAATGCTAGCTATTGTGTGGGTATAGCATTTTATAAGTGTTTAAAGTCAAAAAATCTAAATAATGATTATTTCTTATATAATTGACAGGGACCTCTAATATTTTACCACTGAATTTTTAAGGTCCCTATGTCCATCAAATCAATACAATATTGTAATAATACTTAAAAAATAATACATTATAATAGTTATTACTTTGCAAAGCTATTCTTAGCAGTTCAAACAGGTTGAAATATTTATATTTATGTTACAAATTAAAGATCCCTCACTAAAAATCTACTAATGCCTTGGTGGTGTTATTTCATAGAATTATTGTTTGTTTAGAGGACATGATCCTTGATGGCTTAGTTTAATAGTAACAGATGTCTGAAAATAAATATATCTCTTTTTCCTCAGTGTGTCCTCTGTGAAACCTAATAACCAAAAGCACATTAAAGAATACATGATGGGATCATTATTTTTTTTAAAGATTCATTTATTTATGCATACAAGAACTGGGGTACAGGCCAGAGGTGTGGGAGGTAAGAGGATTCACCAGAGACAGAGTAGGGAACAGAACAGGCAGAATGATCGAAATACACTGCTGAGGGGAGCAGCAGGCGAGACAGGAGAGGTCTGCTGAATGTGGGTTGCTTCTCAGTCGGCAGGGATCGAACTGGCACTGCAGAGGCTTTGGACAGTTTCACAGCGCTGCGCTCAACTGCCTGCGCCGTCAGGGAAGCCCGGGAACATTATTTTTGATTCTAATTAATTAAGTTCCACGTTGGAATAAGTACCTCAATATATGAGGATATATTTGCATTCAGTTAATTTTTTCAGATTCTTTTTAAGAAATGTCTTGGTATGAAGATAAAACTTAGTAGCTGTAATAACTCTCAAGTTGGGCCTCCCTGATGGCTCAGGCGGTTAAGCGCCACACTGTGAGGCTGTTCGCAGCTTCTGCAGTGCAGGTTCTATCCCGGCCGGCTGGCAAAAATCCTACATGGAGAAGCAGACCTTCTGTCTCACCCACTGCTCCCCTCAGCAGTGTGTTTTGGTCAGTCTGCCTGTTCTGCTCCCAGCTCCATCTCTGGTGAATCCGCTCACCCTCCCACGCATCTAGCCTGTACCCTGGTTCTTGTATAAATAAATAAATATTTTCAAAAAAAATAACTCTGAAGTTGATGAGACCACATAATGAGACCAGGGCATCAACTTTGTGCTCCTTTCACATGAAAATGGGCAGATAGGAGAATGGGGTGCAGCACAAAGTAATTTTTAAGAACATTAGGTGTTGTCAGCTCCCAAATATTGAAATCACATGATTATTTTGCTTTAAAAGTAAATTCTAAAAATAGTTTAGTTTGTGATGAATCGGATTAAAATTAGTTTTTCGTAAAGTACTTATTATGCCTGTTGGTATACAGATTTTGAGACTGAGTATAATACTTCAGCAGATTTTATTTTGGTAACTTCTAGGAACCACCACTGGAGAACACATCTGAATCCTCTTTGACCACTATTGACCTATAAATAAACTAGTTGAAGCCACCAATCATTATCAACCCTTCAACACTTTATTGCCAGCTAGAACCACTAGGGGGCAGTAATTCCTAGATAGTGTCAAATGATGCAGGACCATTCAGTTCCAAATTGGAATAAAAGTTATGATATTACCAATCGTCTTTTTTTCTAAATTGTTGTCATTGCTGCTGTTAATGACATTAAGTATAAGTATATTTAAGAATGAGTTTTGGTTAAAATTAATACTTGTTCTTTTTTTTAACAGGGCAATAAATGTGTTCATAAGTGCCAACCGACTAATTCATCAAACCAATTTGATACTTCAGACCTTCAAAACTGTGGCCTGAAAGTTGTATATGTTAAGAGATGTACTTCTCAGTGGCGGTATGAAACTGCCTTTATCTGTAAATTTTAAAGTTTGACTGTATAAATTATCAGTCCCTCCTGAAGGGATCTAATCCAGGATGTTGAATGGGATTATTGCCATCTTACACCATATTTTTGTAAAATGTAGCTTAATCATAATCTCACACTGAAGATTTTGCATCACTTTTGCTATTATCATTCTTTTAAGAATTATAAGCCAAAAGAATTTACGCCTTAATGTGTCATTATATAACATTCCTTAAAAGAATTGTAAATATTGGTGTTTGTTTCTGACATTTTAACTTGAAAGCTATATGCTGCAAGATAATGTATTTAACAATATTTGGTGGCAAATATTCAATAAATAGTTTACATCTGTTAAACATTTCTTTACTTGAAAAATGCATATATATATATGAATACATACATATATATAATATATATATATATGTGATCAGAAGACCAAGAAGACTTGGTGTAATGTCTAAGGAACTTCTAATGGGAGCTTATTAGCAGTTCATCAGATAATAAAGCAACAAGAACTCCTATTTTATTGTCCTTAATCACTCTGGGTAAAAAGTAGTCAATGGAAGTAGTTTTGTTATTAAATATATATATGAGGTACTGAATATTTTTCCATATTTCTAGCCTGTTTTAAGAGACTTATGAGAAAGACATGGCAGTTACTAGGGTCTCTACACTGTAATGCCACAGAGTACTTAACTCTCAGGCAATGTAAATTTAAATTTTTCTGGTATGCTGGACCCTAAAAAGCTTTGTACCCTGTATTTCCAACACTAGTCCCAAATAATAGTAATTTGAAGCTATAGCAATGCTACTAGGTTTGAAATTACCATGAGTATTAGTAGTATATAAATTCTTTAAATATGTAGTTCTTTTTTTCACCATAGAGTTACACGGACATTCTGTATCAATTCATGTTAAGTGATTTCATTTTTCAGGTATAATACAATAAAGGGAAAAATCAAAATTTATCTTTTATAAAAACTTTAAGTGTTAAATTTTGTTGGCAATATAATTTTTTTGCTATAATGTGATTTAGTTATTTTTAAATGTTTTTCTCTATTTTTAAAAACAGATTTTTAAGCAGTTACTGTCATTGACAACATAAAAGGAAATTGTTCTGTTAGATGTAAGCAGGAAATGTGGAAAGAAAAACAAGAGAATTGGATGAAATCTCATAATTGATAAACCTTTTACTGACTTGATTTCTTTCTCTTCAGAAATACATGACCAGTAAAGCAAATAGATGATCTTAATACTATTTATTTTTGACATAAATTGCTATTTACTCTTGTAAGTAGATGGATGGTCCTTTACAAAATAGACTTGTGAATATATGAAGAAAAATAGACTGTTTTATCTCTTTTGAGCAGCAGACTTTCTAACACAAACTAGTACTGTCCTCCCTCCTATTTAACCCCCTTAACAGAACTCACCATACCATCCATTCCCCAGCTCATCTGTTTTTATTAGCCTTCTGTTTTTCATTCCACTTTTCAATATGTCTGACTTCTGTTCATGAATTTTACCTTCAGGAAAGAGTTTCATTCTCAGGATAATTGAATTTCATACATTATCTAGTGGAGCTGAGTTTGGGTCACTGAGGAAAGGGTCAATATGACCCCAGTCAATAAGTTTCTAGAGATAGAAAGATGACACACTTTGGGAACAAAAGAGGAGACATTTGTTGAGTGCCTTCTCTGTGTCAAGCAATAATATCTAGATCTGTTCATTTAATGTGATTCTCTTAACAGTTCTATGATTTAGTTATCTGCCTTGTGGTTCAGGAAACTAACTGAAAGCTTAGATTAAAGAGGTGGTAATGGCTAGTGCCAGGATTTGAGTTCATTTGCCTCCTGATTCCCTTCGTTTTTTCCTATTGCACTGTACTTCTTACATTGCTGTAAACACATCTTGTTTGGAATGCTAATTACCTGACGCCCAGTAATGAAGTTCGCCCTGGTTCACAGGAAGATGAGAAAAATTAGGACAATGTATTTTTACAAATCTGTATTTATTTATTTTAAAGGACCATTCTTTTATTTGGAAGGCATTGTTACTTTTCGGTGTTTAAAATAGTCCCTCCTTAAACTTTGTTTAAACAAAGTGGTATAATAGTAGAAAGGAAGTCTTGTTTCTGTGTTATATTTTGTTGAGGTAACATTGGCTTAATACTATGTATGATTTAGGTTCATACCTCTTCAGATGTATATTACATACCACACCCACTACCCAAGTACCCACAATCTTCCACCATTGTCAGTCAGGCCTCACTTTTCCCTTTGCTTCCCACCCCTCTCCCTCACCTCCTCTGGTAGCCTCAAGTTGCACAGTAACATTTCTTGTGTTTGTTTCAGTTTAGTCCCTTTCTTCTTGTTTCCTAATCCATTTATGAGTGAGATAATCTGGTGTTTCTTTTTCTCCTGATATTTCTCATTTAACATAATCCTCTTCAGTTACATCCATGTTGTCACAGATGGCAAATGAATAGCTTCCTTTTGTATGTATAACATATTTTAATCCATTTGTCTTTGGGCACTTAGATTGTTTCTATAACTATATGCTTTCCAATTAGTATTTTTGCTTTATTCAGGTAGACACTTAAGGCAGGAATTTCTGGGTCACATATTAGATCTATTTTAATATCGGGTTGTTGGCAAAGTCATGACGTATTTTTTCTATGGAAAAATGTGTCATGACTTTTCTGACAACTCAGTATTTTCAGAAACCTCTATACTGTTTTGCAAAGGTGCTACGCTACATTCCCACCAGCAGTGTACAAGGATTTCTTTTTTGTTGTATTCTCAGACTCGTTTATTATTTCCATGGCCACTTTTGTCTTTTATGGTATTAATATGGCATGTTTTTGAATATAGCCTTCTGACTCCTTCCTCTTTAGATAATATGTTCCTCATTTTGGCTTTCCTCATGATTAAAATCAGGTTATGCATTCTTAGTCAGAATTCTATATTGGTAATACTGTGTGATAATAGTATCTCTTCTGGAGGCATACATTGGTCCATCTCCTTATCAGTTATGTTAATTTTTATCACCTTGTCAAGATGTTTGGTTTCTTTAATGTATAATTACTATATTTTACCTTGCATCCCATAAACACTCTGTGGAGAGTTTAAGTCCATGTTAACATCAGAATTTAGTATCCATTAATCATTCTTGCTTATTCAGTCTTTACTTAGAAAGTTGTAAAAGGGCAATTTTCCTACTCCAGCATTCCTTCCTCAGGTACGGTTGACCACCTGTGGTATGCACAAACACTCCTTTATCCCCATCCATTATTTACTGAAATATACCTAGCCACTTAGTTTTATGTCTGCTATTATTTTCAACTCCTGGTTTTCTTAATTTGTCTGAGATATGACCACTAGGAGCCCCTCCAGCCCATGTGCATGTTGCATCCTCTTTTGTTTGTTTATACTTACCTTCTTTTTCTTTTTTAAAGGATTATTCCTTCCCACCACCATCTCTTATAATCCCTTGATCCTTTCTCTGTCCCCCTCCCTTTAACCTCAGAAATTTCATTTTAATGACTGCTGGTTTTTTATAAGTAATTTACTCTATGGAATCACCCCATATATAAGTGTCCATTATTTTTCTGTCATTCTGACTTGCTTTACCATGTATCATTCCTTTGAACTCCTTATATTTTGATATAAATGGCAGCATTTCATCTTATGGCTGAATAGTGTTACATAATGTGAATATCCGACTTCTTTATCCAATCTTCTCTCCAGTGGGCACTTAACATTTCTATGTCCTAGATATTAAGAAATAGTGTTGCAATAAACATTGTAGCACACATGCACTTTTTTTCCTTTTTTTTAATTTACTTTTTCACAATCTGGATAGAAGCCCATGAGTGAGCTGCTGTATCATTATGGTATTTCCAATTTTAGTTCTTAAGGTAAACCCTGATTGCTTTCCATAATGGCTGTACCAATTTATGTTCCCATCAACAGTATAATAATGCTCTTCTTTCTTCACATCCTTTCTAGCACTGGGTGGTGGTGAACTTTTTAATATGTGCCATTCTCACATATGTGAGGTAATATACCTCACTGTGGTTTTAACCTTTATCTTTTATTGGGGACAATGATGAACATATTTCCGTATATTGGCTTTCTTTAGATCCTCTGTGGTGAATTATTCATATCTGCTGAGTATTGAGTTATTTGTTCTTCTAGTGTTGAATTCTCTGAGGTTATATATCTTGGGTACTAGCCCCTGTCAGTTATATGAGGTGTGAATAGTTTCTCCCATTGAGTAGAATGTCATCTTAATCTGCTTATATTTTCTTTTGCTGTGTAAAATCTTTAGTTTGAGGTAATTCCAGTTGTTTATATCCCTTGCCACAGTAGTCAAGTTTCCAAAGACATCTTTATCATTGAAGTCATTGAACATATTGTGAAATATTTTCTTGTGTATTTTATTGTTGAGGGTCACATATGTAGATATTTAATTCATTTAGAACATATTTTTCCAGAGAGTTAACTGTGATCCATCTTGGTCCTTTAATATGTGATCTTCCAGTTGTCCCAGCACCAGGTATTAAAGAGACTCACTTTTCCCCATTGTATTGTAATGGCTACTTTATCATAAATGAGATGTTGCAGTGCATATGGGTTTATTTCTGGGCTTTTGATACCATTTCATTGGTCCATTTGTCTATTTTTAAGTCAATACCATATTGATTTTAGTATTTGCTAAATACTGTTGCTTTATGGTATAGTGTACAGTGAATTAGTCTGTTGCTTCCATTTCCTTTCTTTGGATTGTTTTTGCTGAGTGAAGTCTTTAATTTTCTTTTCAATTTTAATTTTTTTTGTTAAATTTTTTAAATGGTAGCTTGATGAGGATTGCATGAAATTTATGTATCATTTAGTTAAAATGGAATTTTAATTGATGTGATTATATTGACTTACACAGATTGATTGTATTGATTTCATTTCTGAATATGGACTGTCATTCCATCTCTTTATGTCACAAGTTCCTTTGAAACAGTTGTGAATAGAATTATTCTAATTTGTTTTTCTTCTTGTTTGCTTGTATATTAAAAATTGCTTTGAATTTTTATATGTTGAGTGGTTAATTGACCACTTTGCTGAATTCAGTTATTGTTTCTAATAGCTTTTTGGTGGAATCTTTGGGATTTCCTCTATATAACGTGTTTTCTGTGAATTGATAGTTTCGCTTCCTTGCAGAATTTGATTCCTGTTATTTCCTGTTGTCTAATTGCTGTAGCCCCAAACATAAGTGGTCACAGTAGGCATAGTTGACTTATTCTTGATCCTAATAAAGAGAAAACTTTCATTTTTTAATATTAAGTATTATTTCAACTGTTGGTTTGTATTATTTGACCTCTATATATGGAGGTAGGTTCCTTCTATTCCCACCTTGTTTAGAATTTGTATCATAAGTGAGTGTTGATATTATTAAATGCTTTCTCTTCATCTGTTGATATTATGATTATTTTCTTCACTTTTGTTGAAATTATTTATTACATTGATTTATGTATTTTAAACTGTCCTTGCATCTGTGGATAAATTGTACTTACCATAATGTGTAATCCTTGTAATACAGTGTTGAATTTGATTTGCTATTTTTTTGAAGATACTTGCATCAATATTTAACCAGGGATATTGGTCTATAATTTTCTTTTCTTGTGATATCTTTACCTGGCTTCAGTATTAGGGTAATGCTTGCATGCATTAGGGAACATTCCCTCTTCTTGGATTTCTAGAAATAATTTGAGCAGTTGGGCAGAAGTTCTCTAAAATGTTTGATGAATTGATTTATAAAGCTGGCCATAGACTTTGTATTGGGGGAGATTTTTTAATTCCTGTTTAAATCGCCATGATTATAATAAGTTTATTAAATTGTGTCTCTTTCTGATCTTTATAAAATACATATCTAGAAATTTTTCCATTTCTCCAAGTTTATCAAATGTAAAGG